GACGTGAACCTTCAGCACCGTGGTGTAGATGACCAAGTTTGCGCGTTTGCTTGTGTTGCCGTTGACCGATGACGGCGTCGCAATCTCCAGAAATCTCCGAAATCAGGTTCTTTCGTTGTCCACGGATAAAGGTTGATGTCCCGAGAAGAGGTTGCCTTGATCTTCCCGTGATGTTCGCAGCTCGTAGTGTGTGCGTTAGCCGAGGCTCATAACCTGTCAGNCGGTTGTTGATCGCCTCCACTGATGATACAGTGTAGTTCCTTGTACACCCGATGCGTATGCTGCTCGAGACTCCCGCGCACGTGACCTTCGCTGCTAGTTCACCACACACAGAGATACCCACTACTGCCGCAGGGGTGGTAACGTGTGTATACGACGTGAACCTTCAGCACCGTGGTGTAGATGACCAAGTTTGCGCGTTTGCTTGTGTTGCCGTTGACCGATGACGGCGTCGCAATCTCCAGAAATCTCCGAAATCAGGTTCTTTCGTTGTCCACGGATAAAGGTTGATGTCCCGAGAAGAGGTTGCCTTGATCTTCCCGTGATGTTCGCAGCTCGTAGTGTGTGCATTAGCCGAGGCTCATAACCTGTCAGTGAAATTTCGCTGTGCACTAGCAGCAGTACGATGCTACAGATGCCAGGAGGCTGTGTAGCCTACCTCAGAGGTTCACACTNGCACCACTCTCCTCGAATACCGGACAAATAAGCCAATCACACGAAAGATAGATTCAGAATGCTTCCACAATGATTTCTGGAAGCCCTCCTACGTTCTAGAAGAGTATCAACTGCAACCTAGATCTAGTACGCTTACAGAAGCTTACAGAAGGAACCAGAAGTTTCCAGAAGGCTTCCAGAAGCTACACACGTTCTACGTAGATGTCTCGGTCAACTTTGACCTATCATGCTTCCGTAATAATTCGAGAACAAGAAAATACATGCCACGGAGAGATGGATTCTTTTCTACTGCTACGCAGACTAGTTGCTGCAATCGTCTTCAAAGGTCAAACCGTGTCCGATTACTGGTGGTCTCGACGCACGATTTTCCAGACAGACTGACCTCGCCAAGTGTAAACGTTAGTCCCAGGTACACTCGACTGTCTGGATGGATACAAACATGCCTCTTTCATAGCTGTAGGTCTCGCCGGAAGTCGGTTGCAAATTTCCATCTAAGCCAACTCCATGATCGATCGCGATGTTCACCCAACCACACATTTTGAACCCTTTCAGGCCCCAGTCTTTGCCTAGACGCCATGATCGTGGCCCTCGGGGAGCCTTGTGATGGGAAGGAATGGTATAAGTCGACAAGTCAGCTCCAGCTGGCATCGCTGCAGTCCTGCATGGCTTGCCGAAGCGTCCCTCGAATGCATCTACGAGTTGAACTTGGGACTCCTCGACATCTGTGGGTCTCTACGACCACACTCCGAAAGCGGAACGAGATGCAGCCGATTACGGCGCGTGTACCAGCGTTTCGGCCGCGCAAGGTGACGTGGAATATAATGGCTGCGGTGCTGGATGCCGCAAGCGATCTTGTGGCAAGCGTGGAGTGCATTAAGATCGGTTGCCGTTTCAACGGTAGTTTCGACGGCATTTTTTGGCTCCGAAACGTGAAGCAGATCAAGTTCGATGCAGACTTCAACATGCCGATCGATATGGTTCGATGGCCAGCATCGCTACAGCATCTGAAGTTTGGCCAAGACTTCGACTGGCCTATCGACAGGGTAGCGTGGCTATCGTTTCTTCAACGAATATCACTCGGGATGTCATTCAGCTGGCGTATCGACAGGGTAGCGTGGCGATCGTCTCTCCAACGGATATCACTCGGGATGTCATTCAACTGGCCCATCGACAGGGGAACATGGCCATCGTCTATTCAACGGCTGGAACTCAGCTGGTTATTCAACCATCCTATCGACAGGGTAACGTGGCCATCATCTGTTCAACAGAGTAGATTCGGCCCGCGTTCAACACCTCTATCGAAGGTGCCGCGTAGCCTGTTTCCCTGCAGCATCTGTACTTCAGGCAAGATTTTAATCAGCCGGTAGCAAGAGTCGCGTGACCGGCCTCTCTGCAAACACTCAGCTTCTTTGGAAAATTCAACCAGCCCATCGATGGAGTATCTTGGCCTACGCTGCGCAAGCTGGAGTATAGCGATTCATTCAATAAGCCGATCAATCGAGCTTCGTGGCCATCATCCCTGGAACACCTGAAGTTTGGCTACCACTTCAGTCAGCCGATAACTGAGGTGACGTGGCCAGGGTCGCTTCGGCACCTTGAGTTCAGCTTCAGCTTCAGCTTCAGCTTCACACAGCCCGTCGACGAGGTCGAGTGGCCCGTCTCTTTGCAGGAGCTGACAATCGCCCAGCGGCCCGGCGATGCCTAACCTGATTTACCCGGAGTCAACGTCTGTGGGGTGTGGAAGTCGCACTGAGTGTGATCGGAGTCACCACGATTCTCCGCCATCATCGCAAGTTTCATTTTTCCCTTTGCTATTTTTATGTTTGAAATATGTGTGTGCGTGACTCGTGGTGGAGAGGCGTTGGTTTCGCAGAGCACCTTTTGTGACGAAAGGAATCGCACAGCCGGCAGATGGCAAGCGACCAGGAGGAACAGACAGGTCCGAGATGCGAAATTTTAAAGAAACTCTTGGGTATTGTTCACGTTGTTCATTGTTAGGGTACGCGGCGGTCATTGTGATCACGGAGCCTCTGGGAGTTGGCATACATGTGCGTGACACGTTGAGTTGGTGAGTGACGGAGCGCCCTCTGCCTTGGACACTCTTGCCCACCTGCTCTGCATGGATGGACTTCGTGCTTGCCTACGTACCTGCTTGGTGAATGGAAGTACAGCAGTCTCACAAGTATCCTCTACACGGATCGGCTAGGAGGAGGAGCGTGTTCACGTCTGCTCACCCGCCGGAACATCCATCACTATACGTCTCTGTCCCTAGGGACCTTTTACTAGATTTGTGGGTTCTTGCTTGTATCGATCTCGAGCTGAATTTTAACTGATTCTGTTCTGTTTGTTCTCGTCTCATTTATGTGGCCTCTAGTTGTACCACGTTTAACGCACCATCTGTGGTCATACGCCGCATTTTCTTTTGTCGTCTTTCCTCTCGCGGTGCTTGCCTGCAACGCCGAACGGACCTAGCAGACCCTCTTCCTCTTTGGTGCATGTGCGCGCGTTCGCGGCCACACGGAGTCGCGAGTCTTGGTCGAACTCTGTAATATTTGGAAGCGACAATGAAGTCTAGAAGAGTCAAGAGGGATAGTCGAGGGCATCAGCTGAACCACCATGCATGGGGATCGCCTCATACATTCTGGCTTTCTCAATTGTTTTTTCACCTTGGTTTTTCGCCTCTGAACGGAATTGATCTGACAGCTTGGCTCGACTTGATCCTACACTAATCTACACTCCACTAAATGGAAGTGAACCGTACGTATTGCCTGACCACCCCCTACATCCCCAAAAGTTGGTGTATAGCGGTGCGCGCCTGGGGCAAGCGAAGGTCAAGGAGACGCTCGCGGCAAATTTTAGATATGTCCCTTCCATTAGACAAGAAAGAGCCTTCTATGTACCTTGTCCGACGTACGCACGTGGATATTCTTCGCCATGATCATCATCTCACTTTCTTACATCGTTGTCGCAGCACCTCAAGGGTGTGGGAGAATCGGTCTGGTCCGGTCAAAAGAAAACCCGACGGATGCCCTCGGCTTCGCACGAGCACGACGGTTAGGTTAAGGTTACATGCTCAGGTTTGGTCTCGGCTTCAAGAAGGTTGACTCTTCTGGGACTCACTTTCAAAATAGGAGTAAGCTTGCTTGCGACGCCGCGTTAGCCCCGGGCTATAACATTCGTCGAATCCTTCATATTTCACTTGGAGAGGTCGAAACACCCAAAAAGTGCGTGAATGCTCCTAGATCGGATCGCAACACACATATTCGGGATGCCTATTCTTCCCTCTCAACGCCGGTGCTGGTACCGAAAGCCCCCCCAGCAATATGGACTGGGAGCGCGATCAACGCGCCTTCTCCGGGTACAAAAACGAAAGATGAGAAGTCTTGCCTCTGGTTGTCCAGCTTCTCATTCATTCTGCAGCTTCGACCAACAAGAGCAATAACAAACCTATGCATGCCAAACGAACGGAAGAGCCTCTAGCTAGCCTCATCAGCAGCAGTTCGACACCGTGCCCCGCGAGGCAAAACCAAGTCAAGAGGTAGAAGTAGGTCTTAGAAGCTGGGCCCTGAGGTGTCCCAAGAATCTCCCGTGAAAGTTTCTCCGTTGAACGACCCCGGCCCCGGCTTCTCCTTCGGAGGAGGGCCTTGGTTGCCTTTCTTCGGTGTGCCCCCCCCCCCCCCCCCGCCGAACACGCCTCCGCGGCCTACCCCTGCCGCCCTTGCGGCCGATTCCCCGGTGAGTACGTCCATCTCCTCCTCGTACACTGCTGCCCACCTACGGATTGGATTCGTTGTATGCATATATGGCGTTCAGTTAACAAACAAGGCAACATATGAGCAAAATTGGCCAACATCTACAAACAGGTCATTTCTTCTCGTTCCCTCTGTTTCTTGTCTCGCGGTCTCGCGGTCTCGCGGTCTCTCCCTCTTTGCCTTGCCTCTCTTTATCTCGATGAATTTCTCTCTAATGTCTCTCTATCTATGACAGGGGCATCGTTACCATTATTGTCGCCATCAATGGAGCCAACACTAATGCAGCCGGAAAGTAGCTGTGTACGTGTAAGGTGGTGTGGACCACTGAATTCCGTTCGTGGACGAAATGCTTCTCATTCCGGGGCCTCCGATTCCAATAAAACCGTAAATATGCGGGCTGAATGCTCGCGGGGAATCCTCGATATCTGGACCAATTCGCAGACAGCCAACGGTTGTGTTGGTTCCTGGAATGCCACTCGAACCACACTCAATATTTTTTGCCTCGCTCGTGTAACCCTATCTTTGGACAGTATCGTAGCAGTAGGGGTCACAGGCATACCGCAACGAGGGAGGAAGGTTAAACAACACTGCTAGCGACGTCAATAACATCTAGTTTTTCTTTCTATCTCTCTCTCTCTCTCTCTGCGCCCCTCTCTCTGAATATCTTACGGCGGGATTGTGATGAGGCGAGCTAGTGGGTTTCAGTTGAGGCCAGTGATACCCTCGGTAAAAAATACTGAAAATGAAACGCTAGCGACTTCAACAACACCAACAACAACACCAACAACGGAACTCCACGCACAAGTTTTGGTAGTCAGGATTGAGTTCGCATTCCTCTCCATCCCCCGGAATCATGTCGTCCGGCAGCTGCCAGCAGTTGCTCAAGTCCTCCTCATCAAAGCCCGGCGCGCACCTCTCTTCCAACGACACATGCCCTCGTTCAACACGTATCAGGCTGTAGGGTTCGGGTCTGGTGGGCGTGCATGGGAGGTGCGCGGGGGGGGGGGTCGAGGGTAGCATTCGGGGCCGGGTAAACTTCGTGACGTTGTGCATACATGCGCACCAGGAACTAGGTGTTTTGGGACAGTATCGAGGGCCCGCAGGGCGAATGAAGAAGCAAGCACCTGGGGGGCGAGTCAGCTGCACGAGGGATGCACCAGAGACGTGGTTCTCTTACTCCCTGCTGCAGAAACAGCGTGTCGCTGTTGGAGCACGGGGCTGGGTGACAACAAAAACAGCAAATGCGCGTGTGAATGTCCCGGTTGTACTTGATTGATAATTTGGGGTAGCAGCTACACTTTCATTCCAAGAACACAGCAGCAGCAACAGCAGTCATAACGCGAGGAGCTGGTATCTATCTACACGGATGAGCGAACGTGCACATTTGAGAGGGGGAAGCCATTGAACCAGAAAAGCTTCCGGAACAGGAAACCAAATTGTTGAGCAAACACACAAACATTCCAGACCGACGTCTTCTCCTTGGTCAGCCGGCTTCAAAAGCTCGTTGGTGGTCATAAAGAGGAACACACAGAGGCAGCACATCCCCCTTCACCTGCATCGGACCAAAGAGCGAATTTCTTCGATGTTCTTATCGTTGACCGACCACACTTCGTCGCCGAAGACAGCACTAACGCCCGTGAGAACGTCGCCAACCTGCAGGCCGGCCGCCTCAGCCTGGTCGTATCATACGCAGCACAGCAACGCAGCACCGGGATAGGGTACAAGTTCGTGCCTGAACGGTGACTCTCGACAACAAGAGAGCCACGGAGTCGACGAGGCAAAACTCGTACCGCCCGCTAGATACCGGGAGGAATATGACTGCCTACGCGGCAAACAAAAGGCGCTAGGCACTCTTCGCTCTTCACCCCGAGCTCACCTTGTCACCGACGCTTGTGATGTACACCAGCTTCGCCTTGTCCGTGGACTCCTCGATAGTGATACCCAGAGGCTTGGTCATGTTGGCGATAATTTCCTCGTAAACCTGGTGCCCCGTTAGTTGTTTTTTTTCGCAACCAATCAGTCAGTGGGTGAAAAGATGTATCACGAGATATGGCCGTGGACCGATGGTGCTTTACACAGGGCGGGGAGACGCATCGATCGCTCAGTCACAACTGCGACAGGCATGCACACACACCCTTGTAACCGGGCTGCTGTCGAAGCTCGAAAGCTCCACAACCATGACGTTGCGAAAGAAAAATCGACCGATGCCTTGAAGGACAAAATTCAGCAATAATATTTTCCAGAATCACCCTTTCCGGGAGGAGCCCGCCCTCCGTTGTGGGGCAATCGACTATAGAAGAATGTATTACCTGGGGGATGTTGATAGGATGGCCCGCAGTCTTAACGGTATGCAATTGGATTGACGTGTAAAGACCGAGGGCATTGTGTGGGCTTTCTTACTCTGCAGTAAGGGATCATTAGTCAGGAGGATTGTTGGCACCGACCCGACGATTTCATGAAAGGCACGCATAAAACTGGGTCGCAGAGGCGAGAGCACCACAATCAAGAGAGAGCAAAACAAGAACAACAACCTGCACAGGGCGTGGCTCCAGCGTTTAAGTCGCAGTGAGGCGCGTTACGTTCTTGCTTACATCAAATTTCTCACCTCGTCCTCTGCGTTGTCTTCATCGTCGTCGTCTTCGTCCAAGCTCATCCGGAACGCATCCATGCTCTTGGCCTTCTCCGCGGCCTCCAAGCGGTCCACCTCCGCCTCCACCCTCCTGTCCTCCTCCATCTCGTCCAGCTCCTCCTGCTCCTTCTGTGTCAGGCCGTCCTCGCCGCCGCCCTCCCCAGACGCGGACGCGATGGTCTCCAGCTTCTCCCGCAGCTTCTCGCTCTCGGACATCCCTTGCGACGAAGGATCGTCGCTGCCACCATCGGACGGCGACGAACGCAGGGGGCGGCCGAGGCTGCTGCTGAATCTCCGCTGCTGCCCTCTCTCGACCCTTAACCTTGCCCCGCCCCGTTCCGACGCGTCTATCGCCGCGGGGTTACGAGAGAATGAGTTCGCCACCCCGGCGTTGGTCGGCGATTGAAACGATGCCATCATCGTTCTCGCAACAGTGTCTTGTTGCTGCTTCCAGGACGACGGCGGGACGGCGGGCGGGGTGAAGAACGCCTCCGCCGGGAGCGTCGATGTCGCCAACATCGCGAGAGCTGTTGCCGCTGCCGCTACCACCGCTGCCCGGGGCATTCCTGGGCAAGGTGCCGCCGCCGCCGCCGCCGCCCCCGCGCGTGGCCGTCTTAAAACCATCCTGTGGGGTTTGGGAAGGGGCGGGGGCGGGGGGCGTGATGGTTTACGGTTGCTGGATCCTCAGGAGCAAGATGAAAAAAAAGCGGAGAAAGATGTACTTCTACACAGCAGTGAGTCATGATACTTGACCGACAGCGGTGGGCCTCGCAGAGGTAGGAGACTACCGCTGAAGACTGTGACTTAGCCGCGCTGGTACCGCTTACTCTGATGTCCCCAGTAGGGGGGAGGAGCGGCCGAAAACACTCAAAAGTTGGGGTCACGTGGTGCACTGTCCTGGACACGTAACACTGCTCTATAATTGCAGGACGCTTATGCGTAGTCCAATAGTCGCTCGAGACTTCTGCTCCCTCACGAATTTATGAAACTGTTGTGTACAAGCGTACAATAGCACGGACTGATAGCCCCGTGACCCGCGGGAGAGGGGAGGGTTGCTGTGTGGCAGAAGAGTCCCCCGATCCGGGTGTTGCTGTGCCACTCCTCTGTCATGTTGATGTACGCGGGCTGTTGCACTTGATGTACATCATAAGTCCAGCCAACAAAACAAAGAGCAGACTATGATGCGACAATTGCTATCCACCCCATCACCACCGAGCTGCTCCTCTGAAGGGGTTTCGACCGGCCTCGGTGCCAAGGCGAGGACGAAAGAAGTGGCATCAGGCGAGAGAGACGCCGTCACCGCTGATGCTGTAGTCTGGCATGCAGCATCAGCCGTGACATGATCACTCGTGAATCGACAAGCAGCCAATCCCGGACACAAACCTCGGTGATATTTTCAAGGACACATTCCTTGCGTTGATTTGGTGGGCTTACCGTGTAGCCTTAAGAGAAGGACTGCTGCGCAGTGTCGCAGGTCGTGCCTACGGGCGATGCACCAACCCAAGCTTGCGTGTGCCTTGGGAGGCCCCGCCGAATCAGCTAGCTGGCGCCGACCCCCTCACTCTAATAATGCGGCGGAATTGGTTGCCGACAGTCATACGATGGATCATATGGTATCATGGTATCGTAATCCCTCACACTCCAGCGCAGCCGTGTGTACATTGCTGGCGATTGTTAGAGTCATGCCTGGCCGGTGGCTTAGTCGGTTGACCTTGTCTGGGGTGGGTACAACAAAGAAGAGGGCTAGAGATGTGGGTGGAGGAAGGGCTTCCCTTTCTGGAAAGGCCAGGAGAACAGCAGCGACGGACCGCTGGTCGCAGCTGCAGCAGGCCGTTGGAACAAATGGCACAACAACGGCAGCGGTGCGGTGGCGGTCGACGACGACCGCTGGCAGGTTTGATTTGTCGGTGCCATGCGAGATGGTATCCGATACGTTGTTGTCTAGTCCTTGGTACAATCATTGTTCATGTTTGGCCATCCCAAAGCAGCGGACTGCTTTGGAATGTACTGCTGTCTGTGGGCTACACAACTGCTGTACTATTACAGTATAATAGTACTTCGTGCACAAGGCGGAGCTGCGATCAAGAAACGCTCCACCAACCGGTCCAATTTACAAAATACTTAAAGGAGATGCCTACAGGAGATAATCTGCAGCTGTACACCAATATCGACGACACCCGCGTGTAACTACATGTAGTCCCCCCGTGAAAACCTTCTGCAGAGGTTCGCGTATCCTGTGTGCTGCCAACACCGAGCACGTATAGCAATAGAGCCTGGAGGTAGCATTACTTTTTGTCGTAGTGTGGAAGCATGGCTGAGAGGATGGAACAGCAGTCACGAGAGGTATTTTAACGCCGCTGCAGAACACGGACACCCCTTGGCAACGGCGGCACGTGATTGCACGCAACGCTAATAAGGAAGTCCATCTCCTTTCGATCACCCGCTCTCTCTGTCTCTGTCTCTCGCTCTCCGTCTCTCTCTCTCTATCTCTCGACGTGTCACTACATCTCTCCCCCCTCTCCATCTCGATGGATCGGTAGGATTCGAGCAATACGACCACCAAACCCACGGCGGGATGCACGCGGGGACGACGAGTACCGATGGATGCACGACATCGGCAGCGAGGAGGTCGTCAGACACTTGGAGGTGCGTCCATCCAAACGTGCCCTGAATAGATGCCGCAGCTGGATGCGTTTCAGTGAATGATGCAAACAGTTGGGTTTCGCACGAAACCTTTTTTGAAGGGGCAAGGTCTCACAGCTAGACTAATGGTTTAACTACCAATGATTTTCAGGAGAGTCAACAGGCAGACCCACACGACAGGTACCCAGATCTGAAGGGTTTTCGCGGTGCTGGATGTGTGAACAGTCGGTGACTTACAGTTGTAGCTGCAGCTCGTTCATCACTCGTCGTGTGCGCGAGACACGATGCAACAACGTGCAATTATTAATGCTCACAATACTCATCGATCACGTGTGTTAAATCGCACCGACGACCGTCGAACTCAGCACGAGAATCGATATTCCGCCGCGTACTTGAGACCGCTCCATCGACGCGCGAGCGAGCTGTTCCGTCGCATGGTGGACCGCCAGCCGGAGGAGGAAGGTGGCGATAGCCGCAGCGTCCCCGAGCGCCTGGGGGACTTCCTGTACTACACGAGGAGGGACGACGGGAAAGGGTTTCCAATATACGTCAGGCGTCCGGTGGAAGGCACGCTCGACGACGAACAAGTGGTGAGTGCGATAATCGTGGCTGTTTTTTCTTGTTGGTTTCCCTTATGAAGGCGGAGGCGGCGGGAACGGGTATGTTTTGGCTGCAATAGGTGTATTCGCGCGAAATCGCTTTATGTCTCGGGCGTGGCAAAGATGTTTTGGCCTGCTTCGACATTCGGATAGCTAGGATTCACGTGGTATTCCATTGTGCAGTCATGAGCGCAGGCGTGCATGAAAGGCGCCAAGCCAGGCTTCGTGGCACAATTCAGTTCTACTCTGGTGTCGGCGAAAGTGAGTTGATTGCGTGGTCGAGTTGTGTGTGAAGATAATGTAATGACCCCGTTTGTAGCCCAACACCCCCTAGGAAAACAATCTCGATACTGCCACTCACGTGGTAATATTATTTCCTCGCATCCCGTACACCACACGTCCGCGAGAGCTTGGACTCCGCTCACCCCCCCCACTGATTAGTACGTTGTAGGAAGAATGGAATTCAATGCGGGGGAAAATACGTTCTTCCTTGGGACCGCCGTCAGCACGGCTGAGGCGTTTGAGGACCAACCTTGATATCGCCTTCGTCGGCTGTGGCACTCGGCGCGCCCCACACCCCGCAGGTGTTTGACCTGAACGAGGTCGAAGAGCGGGGTCTAGGCGACATCGGGTGCGGCGATCGTGGCGGTGGGGGTGGCGGCGACAGCGGGGACGGAAAGGTTACCTCCTTCTACGGCGGTGGAGAGGAAGAAGAAGAGCTCGGTACCGCGGCTCCGACGCCCGCCTTGGGCGCCATGAAGCTCTCGCCCGACCAGCGGATGCTTGCGTGCACCCTTTGCATGGACGGGAGCGATCGCTTCGTGCTCGCGGTGTTCGACCTCCTGGGAGGGGGAGGGAGAGAAGACGGCGACGGTGGCAAGCGGCAGGGGCCGACCGTGGCCCTGCTGAGGGAGGATGCCATGTAAGCAGCCAAGCCAGCGCGGAGCCGGTCGGTCGCCTTGGTTTTGTTCGTTTTGGTAGTCCGTTTTGCTCTATTTTTCTTCCAGTCTCTTGTGGCACGACTGATAGTTGGTTCTGGGGGGAGGGGCGGGGGGGAGGTCGACTTTCACCGTGCGTCCGACATACACATGCAAGGGTCCGGCTAGGGGTTCTGCGCTTTGCGTCTCACGAGTGCCCTTCGGAGCCATACTTAGCCGAGCAGAGCAAACATGTTTTTTTCTCATTCTCAAGTCTGCAGAAAGGTCGGCCTGCCCCGCACCACCTCTACGTCGATGGCGATTGGCACTAACGCTGTAGGTCCCGGGTGGGTAGGTCACAGGTCACGAGTCACGTACCGCTTCGTTTTCGCCGCCCTTTTTCACACTCCACTCCTGGGCTTCTCTTTGCCTGTATTAGAGATCTTCGTTCGTTAATTCTTGACGGTGTTGCTTCCGCCAGCGATCCCCTTCCAGAAGGTCGGCCTAGTAATCGAGTTGTTTCTCGACGCTAGATGAGTGTCTAGACTACCGTGAGAGTTCAGGCGAACACACAGGGGCGCGCGATCGGTTTGGTCGTTCAATATCGATTACTCCACAATGTCAAGAGGATACGGGGGGTGCTATCGAAGCCCGACCGATACGTGCAGGGGAGGAGAGGTAGCTCTCGATCGAGATATCTTTCCATAACCACCGTTTTGTGGAGGTCAGGATGCGGAGATTCAGCAAGCACAGACACACGTACATAAAGAGTAGGATCTGAGGGATCTGTTGTAGATCAACGTTCTTCCCAGGCTTCGTTACTCTTCTGATTCCCAGGCAACCTCTTGCGTGTGGAGCATTCGACCTCATAACTCTTCAGTTTTTGGTAAAAAAAATCGTGTTACGATGTGCCGCCGTGGATCATTTGAGACCATCTAGGGTGCTATCGCCTACTGCATCGCGTATGCCCCATCCCATCACCATCAGGTGGGACGACGTCGTGGGCGTAGAGTGGGGATCGACCTGGTCACCTCAAGACCTTGCGAGAGGCGGCGGCGGCGGCGGCGGCGATGGCGCCGGCGGTGGTGAGGGTGGTCTCAGAGACTGCACTCCTGAGTATGAGCTGTTCTACACGGTACCCGACCATCTGCGGAGACCGTGGCAGGTGACGCTCACGTAAACTCGTTTTGTTGTTGCTGTACAAAGTGCACTAAACGGTTGAAGGCTCAGGTTGCTCAAGGCCGGATAATTCGCGTGCAGCCTTCTGTTCCTCTGTCCCGTCGAAGCCCTCTCTGCTGAACCTCTTAGAGGTCCCCCCCGTATCCATGGCCTGGGCCGGCGAGTACCCGGCCTATGGTGCTGTCTCGGCACTCTGGGGATGCGAGGTCTGTGGTCTACCGACCCCGTCATGCGTTTTCATGACTATACCCGCTCCCCCCCCTGTCACGCCTTTGTCCGGACGGGCGCGGGGGTGCCATCTATGTGTGTAGGTCCGTCGCGTCGTCATACATCAAAGGACGAGCTCAGCTGAGTCAGCAGGCCGTACAGACGACGCTTGCGGTGGCGGGGGCACGGGGGAAGACTGGACGGTGGACTCTGCCAGCGACCGCTCCGTGTTCGAAGAGGAGGACGACGCCTTCTTCGTGGACGTCGGAAAGACCAAGGACCACTCCTTCGTTGTCATCAACGTGCACTCCAAGACTACCTCTGAGGTGTACCTACTACCGGGCTCGACGTCGCCCATAGCCGGGCGTGGGGGTGCCGCCGGAGTCGAGGGGACAGCGGCGACGACGGCAGCTGATGCCGCGGCCGCCGCCCCCGCTGCTCACGAGCACGAGTGCGCCGGTCCCACGCTGCTCAGGAGAAGGCGCCAGGGCGTGGAGTACTACGTAGACCACTCTGGCGACGCCTTTTACATCGTAACCAACTCCCCACCGTCGAAGAACGGTGGTGTTGGAGATAGACACGGGCGAAGCGGAACGCCAAGGTCGTCAGCGGTCGACGCGGGGGAATACCGCCTTGTCCGGGTGCCCCTGCAGCAGCAGCAGCAGCCGCAGCCGGGGCGGGGGGTAAGAAGGGGCGATGCCTCCTCCTCCTCCTCCTCCTCCTCCTCCTCCTCCTCCCTGGAAGGCGTCGCCGACGTTCCGTGGGAGGCGGTGCCGTGCGGAAGGCATCCCGGCACGGTACAAGAGATGGACCTCTTCAGGGACCATTGCGTCCTGTACGAGACTTGCCCCGCGTCCGGCTGCCCGCGCCTGAGGGTGGTCCCCCTCGCCCACTCATCCCCCGCCCCCGCCGCAGGCGGCGACGGGACCCTCCCGTCGCCGTTCGTCGTATCCCCGCCCAACGCTGGCGGACATTGCGGCGACAGCGTTGGTGGTAGCGTTGTTGATAATAAAAGCGTTAGCGGCAGCCGTAACGCAAGCGGTCTCGTAGAGCAGGGAGCGTCTGCCGCTAGTGCAGCAGCGGGGGGAGCGACGGCGTCGAGCGCCGCGTGTACCCTCAGGCCGGGGGTGAACTCGTGGTTCGAAGCTCGAACCGCGCGATTCTCACTCTCGTCGCCCACAGCGCCGGAGGACGTGTACGACGTGTGCTTGGAATCCGGCAGGGTGGAGCTGCTGAGGAGGACAGAGGTGCCGGGTAACCCTCGCTTCGACGGTCGGGACTACAGGTAGGCGTCTTCAAATCGGACCTAGGGGGGGGGGGGGGGGNGGGGGGGGGGGGGGGGGGGGGGGGCGGAAGGGGCTAACAAGTTTGGGGGAACTCGTTCGACTACAGCAGCACAAGGAAGAAAACATGGCGTCCGTGCGTACGTGGAGGTGCTTTGCAAAAGCTTGTCACCTGCTTGCATGAAAAGTCTCTTTTCGGATTATCTGATATTAGTGGGTACTTGAATTCACAAATCTCCCGTGCTTGTCCGCAGCCAAGCGGTGCTCTTTGTTGCTGCTTGATGCATTTTACGCGGAGCAGCGCGGAGCGCGGTGCCTCTCGCTGACAGCGCTCCTTCTCTTCTGATTCGGCTTGCGCAGCTGCTACACCACGCGAATCCCTTCCCACGACCGTGAGATGGTGCCGCTGACGATCGTCCACCGAAGAGGGATAGAGCTAGACGGCAAGAATAAGCTCCTCCTTCATGGGTGAGATTGGGCCCGGTGTAGCGTCCCCTCGTAGTCCATCGTAGGGCTTCGGTCGGGGGAGATTTTTGGTGCCGTGCACCTGTTGTACCTTGCTTGATAGCAACACGGGGTGCTCTTCCGACGCTTGATTGGACAGGAGGAACCCGTGCCCCAGAATCTTCCTCCAGCTTTGAACGATTGTTTGCGGCTGTTCTCGTGCAGAACAACATGCTCGAACCACAAAAAAATAGGAATCTGGTCGCGCGCGGGCCTTATCGGCTCGCTGTGTCTTGAACCACAAGCACTACCATTGTCGTTCTCCCACCCCGAGAGCGTTTCGATTGTAAGACCCTCTAACCAGCCCATCTCCGACCCTTTTCCCAACACACTCTCTCGAATAGTCGAAAGCTGACCCCTATCAATAAACCATGCGCTGATGCTCGACCGCCCCCCCCGGTGTTTGCCATCGGGGTTGGGTTTTCGTCGCTTGG